CTGTGGGTGTACCGCGCAGGCCGCCTGCTGTCTCCACGAGAGATCGAGTTCCAGGTCCAGAGGATCCTGGACGACTCCTCACCTCCACACACTGGAGAGGAGAAACTGGGAGCTCTCACTGCTGGAGACAGGTAGGGACTGTGTGGGGGAGGTGAGGGAGGGAGGGAGGGAGGGAGGGAGGATGGATGTGTGTGTGTGTGTATTTGTGACGTTCAGGCCCTGATGCTGAATAAACTCAAGATGCAGTAAGAGCGTTTCATCACTGGGGGGTAGACCTGAGCAGCCGGACATCACCAGCATCATCCTCCTCATCCTCCTCATCACACTCTCTCACTGTGTTTGAACCAGACGCATGAAGAAATCTAGAACTCGCCCGAGGTCAGCGTATTGTTTACGTTCGAGCCCGTGCTTTTTGAGCAGCCGAATTAAGCGTCTCTTGCTCAGAGTGACTCATCAGATCAAACCATGTTTGCGGCTGAAGCTTGTGATGCCAGACAGTAAACAGTCTCACTGACGAAACGACTCGTGGCCACTGTGATGTTTCTGTTGCGTCGTTATGAACCAGGAGAACAACGACACGTTGAACGGGAACTTTGTTTATTGTCCCGGCTTTTCTATCCGACACCGAACAACCAGCGTAACTCAGGTGGCGGAGTTTGACTGCCAGACATTCAAACACACTCTGAACATCATCGCCAATAATCATCTCGGTCTCATGTTAACTTGTTCCACTGGGACTCTCTGCAGGGGAGGTTGTCTTTGGGATTTATCAAGTCGTCAGACAGTGAGGTTTAGAACTGGTAAAGAGAAAAGAAAACAACAAGTAGAAACTGAGAATAGATTTTTGAAAGTGAAACGATGGAATGGAAAGAAGAATTCAGAAGAGGAGAAGAAGTTTTAACAGCTCGTCACACATCAGAAACTTCAGAAGAGAAAAGGAGCAGAAAGCCTGAATGTTCTGGAATCACTGTGTTGAGTTTTACTGTTTAACTCACAGAAATATATATAATTATTTCTTGTTCTCAGCTGCAGCAACTTTGGAGTTCACACACAAATAATGTAGAAATATTCACGACGTGCTCTTTTACACATTCGTTCATAAGCTAATGAGGAAATAACATCCTGGATTTAATAAAAGCGTTTCTTCTTCTGAAGATCTCAGGCCACAACAGAGGGTCCAACAGAAAATATCAATGGACACGTCAGAGTGTGTATTCATCTGAACAGGACGGAGCTGTCAACACAGACCGACAGAGAGGAGTTCAGATATTTATGGTATTCTAGTCACGCAGCTATCGTCGGATCCTTTGAACGAGGCCTCTGTTAGTCAGTAATGGATCAGAGTTCTCACGGTCCCATGGAGTAGAAAGACGTTAAACACAAGTCTCCACCGACACTTAAACGTTCCTTTACTTCGACCACTTGTTTAATTCTGCTCGTATTTGTAAGAAAGAAAAAAAAATAATAAAAAGATTAATTTGGTGATCGTGGGAACTTCACAGACGTTTTTTGCACGAGGGTGGTTGATTGAAACGTCACTTATTTATTTCTTCAAGTTGTTCTCAATGAAAGGTGGGAGGAAGTGGTAACTGAGGCTCGTTGACTGAAACGTGATTTATTTATTTTTGAGAAGTGGGAGGAAGCGGCAACCAGCTGTTAGATTTCAGAACGTGTGGTTTTGCTGAAAAAGCACATCTGCTGTTTCCTCTTTAATGAACTCTGCTCCTCAGACTTCTTCTCCTGGATCAGTTAGAAGTGTTTTTTAATTTTTTTATTTTTGTGCTCAGACTGACGAACACCGTGATAAACAGATTTATGTGTCGCCCCCTTTTACCCAGGGTTCCTTGGTCCCACATCAGGAAGCAGCACTTCGGCTCCGGCATCAACAAGCGCTCGCTGGATGCCATCGAGAGGGCGGCGTTCTTCGTTACGCTGGACGATCAGGAGCAAGGCATGAGGGGGGAGGACCCGGCGGGAAACCTGGACCGCTACGCCAAGTCGCTGCTCCACGGGAAATGTTACGACAGGTGAGAAGGAGGGAAAGTTCACCTTGAGATGCGAGTTTGAATCCTGAACTCAACAGATGATGATAAACAGATTCAAGTGATATTTCAACTCTGGCGGAACAACAGCTCGTCCTCGTCTCTCCTCGTCTCACTTCCTCAGCCTGTCCTCCCCTCCTCTGTCCTCCCCTCCTCTGTCTCTCCGTGACCTTTTTAAACTCTTGGCAGCAGTAAAGTCGGTCTCTCATAGGTCAGGACAACAAGTCCCCCTTCAGTCTTTGCGAGTGTCCGTGTTAACTGCTGACACTGGCCCGATTGTGTCAGTGATTGTGTCTTGTTGTCCACTGTCAATTGAAATGTCGCCCACCCACCAACATATACCGAATTCACATTTCTAGTATTTGTAAGAATGTTAGGATTCATTCATCCTCTCGTCATCGGCTTCATTCAGAGCGTCTCTGGTTCAGTTCAGTTCCTCCATCGACGTCTCAGAGAACAGTTTTTAATCCAGGTCGAGGGTGAGTTTCTTAACATCCAGAGCAGTGAGAGTGACAACGGGGGCAAAGGTACAGGGCTGTGTGCGTGAGTATTTCAAGTGAAGGAACCACACATCCCATAATGCATTGTGAATGAGCCTGTTTGCCTCGTTTCTTTAAAAAAATAAAATAAAATAGTGCAGCGGTGTTTCTCAGAAAGAGAAGTAATCCCATCGTAGTGATTCGGGTTTTCGTGGCCGCCGATAAACATTTCCACGGCGAAGCTCCTTAAAATCCACCTTTGCACCTGAGGATTGTGGGTAATGTAGCACTTCTCCTTGGCGTCACAAATAAAACGTGTTTTTCTTCAAACACTGTTCATTGATCTCATCCTGCAGGTGGTTCGATAAATCGTTCTCTATTGTGATCTACAAGAACGGGAAGAGCGGACTGAATGCAGAGCACTCCTGGGCCGACGCTCCCACTGTGGCTCACCTGTGGGAGGTGGGTTCGTCCGTTTTTACTTTTTCAGTGACATCGATCCTGTGTATTGTGTATATTTGCATGTGAACGTGCCGTGTGTCTCCTCTCCAGTACACCCTGGCCACAGACGCCTTCCAGCTGGGCTACACTGAGGACGGGCACTGTAAAGGGGAGGTGGACCGCTCGCTGCCCCACCCTCAGAGGCTCCACTGGGACATTCCCTCGGAGGTACGTCCGCCGTGCGCCAGCTCTTTTGAATCTCCTCCCTCGTTTACGTCTTCTCCTGGCTTCCTGATGCAGAGTGCAAAGCTTCCAGGGTTAGGTGCCAGCCATTTTTTTAAAAAAACGTACAGGAAGTGACTTCTTCTCCAACTTAGTTTAAGTGTCGTTTTCGGAGTTTGTAAACGATGGCGCACAAAATGATTGAAAATGAATATTTCCTGTTTTTACGCAGTCAAAATATCACCACTGCTAACGGCAGCCCAGGAGCTCACTTCCTCAACAAATGAAAGTGGGTGTCGCAGAAAAGATCAAACAATTGACGGACTTTAGACTTATTTTTCTTTCCTCCCCTGTTTCAACATAAGAGGCGTGTCTCCAGACAATGAGGTAGACAAGAGAGAGAAAGTTAGGTTAGGTAGGTTTGCACGATGATGTAAAAACATGAGGGGACACCAGGTCGTGTACAGAGGATACAGACGTGTGTAAAATCATTTTGAAATCAAATTTCTTTTGTTTTGTTGTTGTGCCCATGGGCAAATTTGCTTTTGGTCCAGGTGCTCCCCCAACTGGTCCTTATTGGGGTGTGTGTGTGTGTGTGTGTGTGTGTGTGTGTGTGTGTGTGAGACGCTGTGATGAGGGAGTGCAGGGACTTTCCCTCTGAGCGACTCGTTGCTTTCACTTCCAAACATTTCGTGGACTTGAGGCATTTCCAGGAAATACAAAAGAGGAGAGAAAGCCATTTCACTCCAGACAGAGATGCTGCTGTTCAGACGACCCGTCTTCTCGTTGGCACTGAACCAAGTCAGAGTAACGTTGTGTCACGGCTGGTGTCGGCCTCTCGTGTTGATTCATTTCACTTTCCAATGATCTCACGTCTCATCACTTTGACACTTGACCTCAGACACGGTTCCCGAGTGACATAATCCCGTTCATTTTCTCAGTAGAGATTTTGATCATCGGCCATAATATTTGAACCGTCCGAGCTCGACTCAACACGAACTACGTGATTGTGAAACGATGTTTCGAGTCCGACTTTGTTCAACTACAAGAAAAGAACGTGTTTAATTTGTGATGTCAAGAAGACGTACTACACTACCCACAATCCTCAGGTGTAACAGCGACGCTCAGGCAGTATTAAGGATTTTTGAAACATGATCTTCATCACTGGCACTTTAACAGAAGCGCAGCTGAGTGACTCAGCGAGTTTGTTTCAAACTGACAGAGAGAGTGATTTTCAGAATTATATCAAAACAGAAAGTGGAAGGGAAATGAAACAGATTTATTTGGTTTTAGTTCTCCATTAATATTTAATTACCACTTGAGTAAGTGTGTGGTTTTGTGTTTGTTGAACAGAGACACCGGAAATGTCTTTCAGCTGACAGTCGAACTGTGATAAGAGAAAACATGCTATTATGCCAACTCATCTGCACAGTACATCATTCACAAACTATTTAACTGCACTCTTCACGAAAACAAATGCAATGACACTAATCAGTGCAGCAGTAAATCAAACAAAAGTGAAACCGGTAACATGAGACGATGAGAAACTTTACTCTGTGAACTGCTGTGTGTTGTGAAAGTGGTGTTTCATATTGTCCTTTAACACAGTTTACATAGATTTATAGTTTCAGGACAGATGTTTGTCCTCCTGCCATGAAGACCACACAGTTGTAACCTCCTCTGGTGTCACGGCTGGTTTCTGGTTTCCTCAAACAGTAGAAATAAATGCCAGGTGTCGTGATGACGAATGAAATTGTCAACAATCGCATTAACTTAAAATCGAGAAGAAAGAAAGAGATCCAAGCACAGATTACATTCAAATACCTGAGCTCAAGCAGAGTGAGAGCATAGTACGACTGAACTTTAAATATCCTGCTCTGATATCGTAAAAGGGAAAACCCCTCGTTGATCTGGTTATCTGATAACAACTGAATTTCGTTCAGACTCGTTATTCCACCAAGGCAGGGCAGCTGTTGAGGAGCAGCCGACCTCATCTTGGGTTTTCCACACTGGGTTTTCCACTCACTGTAAAAATCTAAATCTCCTACATGATTCCAATCTGACACGGTTCCAGCAGTTTATTTCAGGACATGTGCTGGATGTGATACTGAGACCTGGAGGGTGATTGTCCTCTCAAACTCCTATTTCCTGTTTGTTTTACTGTTTCTTGGCTCCGCTACAGCATTTTGAGCACAGCAGTGCTTTTACCTCATATCTCAATCCTTCACACGAACAAGGAAGCTTTACTCTGATTATAGCTCAGACTGTGTGTGTGTGTGTGTGT